GAACCAAGTGCCGTAGGTGTTCAGGGGAGGGAGAGGTTTCATTTGTTTGGTGATCTGATAAGGCCCGGTGGAGACGTTGTTCAAGTCGGGCCATGAAGCTTGGGAAGGAGTTCAACAGGTGGAACAGGGGGCCAGAGATGGGGAAGATATGTCAGGCAGGAGGAAAAGACTAAAGAATGGAAACGGCACTACGGTTCAATCTGATTTGGCAGGAAAATGACCCTTTCTTTCACAAAGGGAGCGGGACAGGAAGGAGACAGGGCTGTGGATACTCTTAGCGTACTCGTCGCTGTGCTGTTCCATTCTTCACGCAGGTGGTCCACCAGGCTCCCTGTCTACTTCCTGTTCCCCTAGAGGAGGCTTATTTTGGATGTCGTGCGCCCAGTGAATGGGGCCACCCAAAGCGTCTTGTGCCAGACTTGAAATGACCTCACAGGGGGGAATTTGTGCTCCACAAAAAAACTGGTTTCTCTGCACTCAAGTACAGTGTTTTAATTTTGCTTTTTCCCCCATTAATCTTCCCAGCAAACTTTTTTTTTTTTTGGTAAAGAATGAATGAAGGGAGCTTATCCACAGCTGAGCCAACAGTTGGGGGAACAGAGCACCCAGGAGGAAAGTTGCATAGTGACCAGTGTTCCAGCTAAAGAATGGAGGTTGGGGGATAGAATAGGTCACAGAAAAACTCAAACACTGTTCCTCTGAATTTTCTTTGCTTGCCTAGTTGATTTTTTGTCCAAGATTTGGGTGCTCGTAGAGACCAATACCATGCTGTTTTGGTTATTATAGCCTTGTAGTATAGTTTCAAGTCTGGTAATGTGATGCCTTCAGATCTGTTCTTTTCGCTTAAGATTGTTTTGGCTATTCAGGTTTTTTTCTGGTTCCAAATGAAGCCTAGAATTATGTTTTCTAGGTCTGTGAAATGTGATGTTGGAATTTTGATGGGGATTGCATTAAATCTGTAAATCACTTTGGGTAGTGTGGACATTTTAACAATGTTGATTCTACCGATCCATGAGCATGACGTGTTTTTCTATTTGTTTGTGTTGTCTGTGATTTCTTCCTCAATGTTTCATAGTTCTCCTTGTAGAGATCTTTTATCTCCTTGGTTAGGTATATTCCTAGGTATTTTATTTTCTTTGTAGCTATTGTGAATAGTATTGAGTCTTCAGATTGACTGTTATTGGTGTATAGGAAAGCTACTAATTTATGTACATTGATTTTGTAAGCTGAGACTTTGCTGCATTTATTTATCAATTACAGGAATCTCTTGGTAGAATCTTTGGGGTTTTCTAGACACAAGATCGTGTCATCAGCAAAAAGTGATAGTTTTACCTCCTCTTTCCCTATTTGGATACCTTTTATTTCTTTCTCTTGCCTGATTGCTCTGGCTAGGACTTCTAGCACTGTTGAATAGAAGTGGTGATGTTGGGAACCCTTGTCTTTTTCCAGTTCTTAGGGGGAATGCTTTCACTTTTCCCCATTCAGCACAATGTCGGCTGTGGGTTGGTCATATATGGCTTTTATAATCTTGAGTCATGTTCCTTCTATGCCTGTTTTGTTGAGATTTTTTATCATGAAATGGTGCTGAATTTTGTCCAATGCTTTTTCTACATCTATTGATATGATCATATGGTCTTTGTTTTTGCTTCTGTTTATGTGGTGAATCACGTTTGTTGATTTGAATATGTTGAACCATCCTTACATCCCTGGGATGAAGCCCACTTGGTCATGGTGGATTATTTTTTTGATGTGCTGTTGAGTTCAGTTTGCTAGTATTTTATTGAGGATTTTTGTGTCTGTATTCACAAGGGATACTGGTCTGTAGTTTTCTTTTTTTGTTGTGTCCTTTCCTGGCTTTGGTATCAAGGTGATACTGGCTTCATAGAATGAGTTGGGGAGGACCCCCTCCTTCTCAATGTTATAGCATAATTTCTGCAGTATGGGTGCCAGCTCTTCTTTGTAGGTCTGACAAAATTCAGCCGTGAATCCATCTGGTCTGGGGGATCTTTTTTGTTGGAAGATTTTTTATTACGGTTTCAGTCTTATTGCTCATTATTGGTTTGTTCAGGAATTCTGTTTCTTCCTGATTGAATCTTGGCAGGTTGTGTGTTTCCAGGAATTCATCCATTCCCTCTATGTTTTCAAATTTATGTGCCTAGAGATTTTCATAGTATTCACTATTTCATAGTATTCATAGATATTTTGTATTTCTGTGGTATCAGTTGTAATGTCTCCTTTTTCATTTCTGATTGAGCTTGTTTGGGTCCTTTCTCTTCTATTTCTGGTTAATCTAGCAAGAGGTCTATCAATTTTGTTTATCTTTTCAAAGAACCAACTTTTTGTTTCATGGATCCTTTGTATTTTTTTTAGTCTCTATTTCATTTATTAAAATAGTTCTTGATCTTTGTTATTTCTTTTCTTCTGCTGGCTTTGGGTTTGGTTTGCTCTTCTTTTTCTAGTTTCTTGAGACAGGTCATTAGATTGTTAATTTGTGATCTTTGTGTTCTTTTGATGTAGGCATTTAAGGCTATGAATTTTCCTGTTAGGACTGCTTTTGCTGAATCCCATAGATTTTGGTAGCTTGTGTCTCCTTTCCCATTCATTTCAAGGAATGTTTTGATTTTCATCTTAATTTCATTATTGACCCAATAATTGTTCAGCAGCAGGTTGTTTAATTTCCATGACTTTGTGTAGAATTGAGTGTTTCTCTTGGAGTTGATTTCCAGTTTTATTCCATTGTGGTCTGAGAAAATACATGGTATGATTTCTATTTTTTTAAATTTGTTGAGACATGCTCTGTGGCCTAGAATATGATCAATCTTGGAGAATGTTCCATGTGCTGATGAGAAGAATGTACATTTAGTAGTTTTTGGATAAAATGTTCTGTAGATGTCTGTTAGACCCATTTGTTCTAGAGTCCCATTTAAATCCAGTGTTTCTTTATTTCTTGCTTGAATGACTTGTTTAGTTCTGTCAGTGGGGTGTTGAAGTCCCCAGCAATTACAATGCTGCTGTTTATCTCTTTGCTTAGACCTAGTAGGGTTTGCTTTATGAATCTGGGTTCTCCTGTGTTAGGTGCATAGATATTTATGATTGTTATGTCTTCTTGTTGAGTTGCTCCTTTTGTCATTATATAATGACCATCTTTGTCTGTCTTTACTACTGTTGATTTAAAGTCAATTTTATCTGACATGAGAATGGTTACATCTGCTTTCTTTTGGTTTCCATTTGCATGGAATATTTTCTTTTCCATCCCTTCAACTTGAGTCTATGCTAGTCCTTGTGGGTTAGGTGTGTTTCCTGGAGACAGCAGATACCTGGGTTGTATTTTTTCATAGATTTAGGCAGCCAGTGTCTCTTGAATAGGGCATTCAGACCATTCACGTTGATCGATAGAATTCATATTTGGAATGCTATTCTGTTCATCCTGTTGGGTGAACACGTCTCATCTTATTGTTTTGTTTTACCTCTTCTGTTATTGTTTTACATGAGCTCTGAGCTTTAGCTTTTGGGTGGTTTTACATGGGTGGGTGCCTATTGTGCTTATCCATGTATAATGCAGTTATGAGTATTTCCTGCAGGGCACATCTGGTCTTGACAAATTCCATCAGTGTTTGCTTATCTGGAAAAGTCTTTATTTCTCCTTCATATATGAAACTTTTGCAGGATACAAAATTCTAGGCTGGAAGCTGCTCTGTTTAAGAAAACTGATGATGAGGCCCCAGTCCCTTCTGGCTTGTATGGTTTCAGTTCAGAAGTCTACAGTTAGCCTAAT